CTTACAGCTGAAACCGGACTGCACAATGTGCAGTGTATACATCATTTAATGTAGTCCTAAAAATGAATTCTGCAATTGTTTTGTGAATTAGTTATAGACAGTTCTACTTTTTTGTATATTAAGTGCTCATCTTAATGCTAACATAAAATATGACAGATATATATGTATATTTTAACCCAAATATTTGGGATACAGCAAAAACAGTTCTTTTAATTTTTATTAGTATATGTTTGCTGTACATAAAATTATATTCATTGTGGGGAGTTGGTATATGTACATACATCTTAATTTTTTTATATGCCCTTCCTCTCCCCTCCTTCCCTCCTCCTTCCACAAAGACCAAAATGTGGCATTTATAAAAGTTGCTGGGAGCATCAGAACCTGACAAGGCCCAGGCCTCCATCTGTCTGTGTGCTTGCGGCCTGGCCACCTCTGCACACTGGTGTGGTGTAACTCCCTGCACCCCTCTGGAGGATGCATAGTGAGCCCTGATGGGGCCTTTTGTGCATTGTCACCCAAAGGGACTGCATGGCACACCCCATGCTAATTCATGTGAGGCTAGTCCACTCTGCTTTCTGTCTGTGTTTCTTCTTCATCCCTGGTCTATAATGGGGAGACATTTCAAACTTTTTTGGGGAACAGAATCTTCCAGATCGAATTCATGCTAAATTCTATCTCTTATTGGTTAGAAATACTGATCCAAATTGCTCGCCATGAAGGGCATTAGATATTCTCATCTCAGCTTCACCAGCTTGGCTTGCAGATGAGAGGGGAGGCAGACAGTAAACAGACAGACTGACCCTTGTTAAACACGCCTGCTAGGCTCCACGTATTAACTCCTGTCCTGCTGCAGTGACTAGAACTGCTTCCACACTGAGTTTCAATTATGGACGGACTGAATGAAAATTGTGTTAAGTAATTATTATCATTAGCCTGAGCATTAGTTCATCAATATTACAAATATCACAATAGGAGCAACTGTGAGGGACATAACTGTCACTCAGTGTTAGATCAGCCCTCTGTCGCTGGGACAAAATACCTGATATAAACACCTGAAAAGGCAAGGTTTATTTTGGCTCATGGCTTCAGAGATTTTAGTCCGTGGTCACTTGGGCCAATCATTTGGGCCTACGCCAAGGCAGAACATTATGGAGCAGAGAGTAGATCGTAAGGAAACAAAAACAGAGAGAAAGGGGCCAGGGTCTCAAATGTCTCCTTCAAGGGAATGTCCCTAATGACCTGATTTCTTTCTGCCAGATCTACCCCTAAAGATGCTGTCATCTCCCAATAGCACCATAAGCTGGGAAATAAGTCTTTAACACGTGGGCCATGGGGGACATTCGGGATCCAAACTATATCACCTAAAGGTGTAAATAAAACAACACTACTGGAAATAAAACACTACATTTTAGATTAAGAGGGGTTTTATGAAAATGAAAAAGTTTTGAACAAGATATAGGCAATAAAGGAAAATGAATTATATTTTTGGGAAGAATTTATACAGATAGCAGCATAACCCAAATTTGGTGGTCACTTGAATTCAAATGATCTAATTTTGAGTGTGATGATATAACAATGTATTTACTCTGCTACAGGCAACAAATTGCACAGTGCCCTGGGTGCAGTCCTAAGGGGCAGGAATTAAAATTGTGAGTGGAGGACTTTTCCTAGAATTTCTGTTTGATTTACTTAACTATAAGAGTTTATGTGGCAGAATATATTCATTCAAGAAGATCAAATGTTAGCATATTTATTTGCATATTTGTGTATACCTAAATTGGGATTTACTGGGAAAAAATCTCTGAGCTTCTGTGATTTGCTTTTCAGGAAGAGACTCCCCGAGTGTGAATGGAGGTGGGAATGGGATGTGGGCAGTGTCTGCACACTGGGCTTCTCACAGTCCACTCAGCAGCCCTTGGAGTCTACTACAGCTTTGCTCTTGTGTCAGGAGAACTTATTTTCATGTACATGTGAGGGAATTCTGATAATAAGCACACATAGCACCTTGAATTGCAATCAGTACAGTGGCAAATTTTAGTTCATAATTTGGTGATTAGTTTCAGCATTATTTTGCATTGTTTTCAATTAATTATCTTACTGCTATAATGTAGAGTTGAGAATAAATTTGCAGTTGGTATCATGTTGTAAAACCATAGATATGCATATTGTATGATCCAGCGGTCCTAGTTCTAAATATTTACCCTAGAGAAACATTTCCTCATGTGCACCAAGAGAAGTGACCAGTGAGCATGTTTATTGCAATGTCATTTGTAAAAAATGTTGCAAAATACTGAGAACAACTAAAATATCTGTTTTTAAAGGTACACATGAAGGAACTGTGGTCTATCTGCCCTGTGGAATATGCATTGTGGAGTAATGCAAAGGGGTTAGGAATAAAATACTTAGACCTTTGTATATGGACAAAGAAAAAGAAAGTTGTCAGTCATAAAAACTTTGATGCCTTTTTTGTAAATTTAAAATCACTTAATATTTTATGTATTTATATTATGTTTATTTGCATATTTTTCTATGTGTACATTTTACCTTCATTCACATGTATATCTGAAGAGAGGTGTTAAACTCTAAATGCTGTTACATCAGTGGAGGTACAGGGCTAATCTTAAGCTAATGCTTAAAGAGATCTTAAAGAGATCTATGTAAGTAAAAGCAAAAATATGTGTAATTATAAGTAGAGGCGACTATGCTGATGTATAAAATAGTTAATTTTGGCTGTAGATAATAGTATCATTATTTTCTCTTTTCTACTTTGCTGGATTTTTCAAAAACTTTAAAGTTAGAAAGAAGGAAAATGTTTCATCTTTTTTTTGGTGTCCTTCTTGTATTGTTGGAATGCCATTTTGAGGGGATTATTAGGAATTATGGTTTAATGCAATAGGAAAGTCCTTTCTGTAACTATTAATTTAAAGCTTTTATTTTTAAGGTAAACCAGTGGTTCTAGAGTTTGGGGTCTGTGAAACTTTGTTTCTTATATGCTTATAGGGAGGATCTCATGTAACTTGAAATTTTTCATTTAAAATTATAAGCTAGACATCTCAAATAGCAACTTATGCTGCTTAAACAGCACATTCCATCTAATGAGGAAATAAAGTTACTCAGTTACTTAATAATTTTATTTGAGAGTCACAGTGTCAATGAAATTACGCACTCTTCCACAGCCAGTTAATTCTTAGAACAAGCTTTTTGTTGATTTTTTAGGCACTGGAAATTGAATCCAGGGTCTCCACACTGAGCTACATCTCTAGGCTTTGATTTTTTTTGTTTTTTGAGACAGGGTTTCACTAAGTCACTAAATTACCCAGGCTGGCACGAACTTGTCATCTTGTCTTTCTGAATTGCTGGGATTATAGATGTGTACCACCATGCCCAGCATAACAAGTTTTTACAGTGGTAAAGAATTTTATTTTGAGAAATTAACATCATGGAATTAGAAACATTTTTCTACTATTGTAAAATGATAGTTTTTTATTTTAGTTTTCTACTGACATCTTAATGGCCTATAACATTTCCCTGATATGGTTTCCCTTGGATTTCAAATTTTAAACAAAGTATTTCATCTCCCTTTGTCTGTTTCCTGTTTTAACAATAGAAATTTAGCTCAAATTAGCTTGTCAAAATGGGAATTAAAGGCCTCATGAATCTGAAAAGTCAAGGGATAAATTTGGTCTCAAAGTATATCTAGTTGTGGGGCTTGTCTGTTTTTCTCACATTCTGCCCCTCTTGGTCTTATTTTCTGGCTGATTCTTTCTAATCTGGGAAAGGTAGACATGAACACCCACAGATGATTATTTTCCTTAGAGGGCTGAATCACAAAGACCATAACTGTCTCATTCAGCAATCACAGTGACATGCATGAAATTCACCAGCTGGCCCTGCTTGGGTCATATGTCCACATGAAGAAGCAGCATTTCCAGGGAGAAGTTGCCCTCAATTGACTTCCAGAGGTCACATGTTTGGGCAGGACTAGGCACATGATTGACATCTCCACCACAATCACGTGGGAGCTGCAGTGGTTTTCCCACTGACAGGAGGGCTCATGCCCACTGATAGTCTACTGAATAAGCACAGCATTTGTTAGTTCCTAGACTGTACCGTAGACACCACACACTGTTGTTGCCATTCGCTTGTCACTCCCCACTGAACTATCCACGTTATGTAGAGGGACCATATCCTGTTGATCTTTGTATTTCATTACTTACCACAAACTGTGGCATGTGGCTAACACTCAAAAATTCACACACTAAATAAAGTAAAATATTAATTGCTGAAAGAGAATGTCAATGTGGAGAAACAACTCGCAAATTACTGTCATGCGCTATTTAATGATGGAAGTGCATTCTAAGAAATGTGCTGTTTGTTGATCTTGTCCTTGTGTGATCATCACAGGTGTATGCTTAATCTAAGAGCTGTCGCATCACTGGTTAATATAACTATGGAACCATTGTTATATGTTGTTCATCTTTCATCAAAATATCATTATGGGGTGTCTGACTGTAACTGTTATTGTTGACTTCTTTTAATCCTTCTTAGAAGGCAATATATTGTATTCCTGAGCTACAAAAAAAATTAACTAATAACGTTGGCTAAATTCAAATAATGATGTTTCATTGAATTGATATACAGTCTCTAATACATCAATATTATTTGGCAAGCTATACTCAATTGACACATTGCCATATACAGTATTTGTTTTGATATTAGAAAAACACAGCCTAAAGTCAATGATATGTAGAACTTTGATGAACTTTCTGGCTACATTTCTCTGGCATCTTTGGACTAGCGTAGTGTACCAGATATGAATAATCTGCTATAATCAATATAGCTGCCTAAAGATTAGGGTGTGATATGCACTAATTATGGTAAATTTTAGTTAGTCTTTTAGGGTTATGTGTTTGGTTATAAAGGAGAATCACTCTGCAAGTTTCTAGAAATAATGACAGAGGGAAATCAACATGTTTTTCTTGCCTGTTTTATGTTCTCAGAGACTTGAGATTTAACCGAATAAGAGAAATTCCAGAGAATGCCTTCAAGAAACTGAAGAATTTGAACACTCTGTAAGTACTTATTGCTAATATGTGGGGTTTTTGAAATTACGAACTAGATTCTTTGCAATTAACCATGAAAGATCATTTTGAGAGTAATGAACAGCAGAAGAATGAAACATTGCCATAGTTCTTGTAACTGGCAAAATTCTGTAGCTTCTTTCCACTGCCAATGTTTTCCCTACCTTCTGAATTTGAGAGATATTCTTATTTATCTGCCTTTTATGTTCTGTTTACACAGAAAAGCTTCTCAACATGGAGAAACTATGGGAAAAAGTGGAAAAATGGCTAAGTAGTTTGTCTGTGAGGCCCATAGCAAGAAAGCAACAGCAATGGAATTAAAACTCATAACTTCCTGACTCCCAAGCACATGATTTCTCTTCTTACTTAAAATATTGAAAAACATCATGCAGAAAAAAAATGACAACTTCACGGCCAAGCACTGATAAAAATTTTGAGTGTTTAAAGCATTTATTTCATTCACTCAATAGATATTGTTTATCTGTTGTGCTTTTAGCAGTTTGTTGCCTTTGGACCCAGACCTAAATACGCTTGACCTTACTGTGATGTAGCTGATGGTCTCACCTGGTGGGGAAGTCAATAATTAAGGCCCAACTATAGTATATAGATAATTTAAAAGTATGGTAAATGCTATAAAGAAAATGAGGAGTGTTATGAGAGATGCTAAGAGGCTTAAACATCTTAAGAGTGCACAATGTTTAAAATCATTTTATGCTGCATTTATTTATTTTAT